AAAAAAAAAAAAAAAAAAACAAAGTGTGAAATTTGAAAAGATTTAGAATAGAATGGTAGTTTACAGGTGCTGGGGAGGGGAAGGAGAGAATCCACCCATGGCGTGCGGACAGTAGACAGCAGTCTTGAGGTTTGGTTGTGAGGCAGTGGGCAATCAGTTGACAATAATATTGTGCTGTACACGTGGAGATTTCTCAGACAGTGAATTTTATGGTGAAAAAATTTCTAAAACTAACAGCTAGGCTGAAAACTTATAGAAAGAGAAATTACCAAAAAAGGCAAAGAACATTTAACAAAAGTTGAACCACTTAAAATCTTTTCTACAATCCTCCCTATCCCACCCTCCTTCCCTTGCTTTCTCCTCCCCTCCTCTCTTTTTCTTCCTTCCTTTCTCCCTCTTCCTTTCTCCCTTCCTCTTTTTTTATTTTATGGTAAAAAAAGAAGCAAAGTTTATCAAGTACGAACTCTAAACTAGGCCTATTATATTCATTTCAATAGCTTTACAGAACTGTAAATATATATCAAGCTTTGGAGCATTTTTGTTTCCTTTTATAAAGGGCACTAGTATCCACAAAATTAACTTGAAACCACTGAACCATGTTAAATTGTGAGAAAATAAAAATTTAAATTGATGGCAAGTTGTATATATTTTCAATGGTAAACAGATGACATAATTTCTTTTAGCTGAGAGTTTACAAAGTTTAAAATACATACGACATATATTACTTCACTTGCCTGCTACCTTTTTTGACTTTTTCTTTTATACAAGAATTATAACCATATCTAGTGAATTCTTAAGAGTGCTTTTGTCATAATTTCAAAAGTACTTTTTAATTCTTAAATTTAGAATGCAGTATATGTTTAATGAAACAATTAAATTTCAACTTTTTGTGACCCTAAGAGCTAGAAAAGAACCGTGGAATAAATTTTCTATATAGACCCGGGAGTGTTGTTACGCTGAGACATATTCTCGTCTTTCACACATTATGAAAATATCACCACGATTATCAGCATCAAAGAGTTATGATTTTGCTCTTGTTCCCCAGGTGTATTTGACTCTAAGTGACCCATTCAGTGATGACCACTAACTCAGCCGTAGACCTTAAAACTTTCATCTCTTCATTTCTTGTAAGATCATGAAGGCAGAGAATGGCATTCAAAATTTTTTAACGGAACTTGCTGCCTTCTCAATCTGAGTGAAAGAACCAAAGATACCAGCACAATTTCCAAAGTTAATTAAAAAAAAATAAAAGAGGAAATTAAAAGGAAAATAGCATATGACATAAAATTGAATTTTGGTATAATTTATTTGCCAAGTATCGCCTTTTCAAAAACATTAGCAACAAAAATGATGCATCTGAGATGTATGTAATACAAACCTGAAGTGACTTAAATTGGTGTATAAGCTGTAATATGTGATTGTAATTTAAAATCTGATCATTCAACTTTAAGCAAGTCCTGAAGAGTAGACTACCTTAGAGCAACACTTTTCCTAGGAGAAAGGGACTCAGACATAATTATATTCTCTGGTTACCAGCTCTTCTATTTTGATTGAGGAGTTGCCAAGTTCCAGATTATTATGTTTAATTATGAATGCCACCATTGCAAGTAAAAAATACCCAAAGCAGGTAGGTTTTTGAGTGTGATTTTGTATGAAAGAATCTTTTTTTCTGGTAATTGGAACTCTTAGACATGTTTCTATTTAACATATAGCCAAACAATATTTTTTTGTACTTCAGATAAACTTGTACATTACAGACAGTAAAAGAGTTTTAATGCTGTTGCTGAGAATATGTATCATAATAAGCGGGTATGACAAATAATCATACCAATTAGAGCGCTGCTGTAAACAAAAATTACTAACAAAGCAGTATGAGTGGTACAGAAACACAGCAACTATTAGAGTTGAGAACCAATTACTTTAAAATTGTATGCTTCAAAGCCAGGTGTAGTGGTGCATGCTTGTATCCCAGCACTCAGGAGGCTGAGGCAAGAGGATCGCTGCAAGTTCAAGGCAGCCTAGGCTACATAAAGAGGTCAAAGCCAACCTGAATTACATAGCATGACCCTGTCTAAAAATAAAAGGCATGTTACAATGCCAGAGTGAATATTATGGGTAAATCAATGATTACTATACCTCTTACACTATTCATCACATGTGTGAAATCAACAGTGCTCTGGAATATGAAACTTTTTGAGTTCTGACATGATGCTTTTTTTTCTAAATATTGGAGCATATCGCATTTCAGATTTTCAAAATACAGTTGCTCAACCAGTATATGGACATATTCTAAAATCCAAAAACACTCTAAAATTGGACCTATTTTTGGTCATGAGCATTTCATATAAGGTATACTTACACACACACACACATACACACACACGTTATACATTCATTTAGTTTAAATTATTAAACAGGTAAAGTTTGACAAAAGATTAGCAAACGAAGTTGTGACATGTACACGGTACTGTAGTTCAAATGTTGACTGTCCTCCAGAGGTCCACCGTGGGCTTGGTCCCCACGGTGGGAGGATCTAGGGAAGTGTTGGAACACTTAGGATTCAGCTTCAATCATTGCAGGGCATGGGTAGGAAGGCCAGCGTGGGAAACCAGTCTCTTCACCTTGTTCCCTTGCTTCCTGGATCATGATATAAGGGGTTTTGCTTCACCACAAGATCCCATCATTACCATCTGCCACCCCTTCCCTGGCAGAGCCCTGAAGCAGTGGGCCTACTTGATCATGAGCTAAATAATTCTTGTAAGTTAATTATCTCAGGTATTTTCTTATAGCAAAGCAAGATTAATACAAATGTATCTTTCTTTTATCCATGCACAGAATTATTTCCTATAAAGTAGAAGATTTTTATTTGATCTCCAAGGAACTGTAAGAGTTTTGGGGAAAATGTCAGAATCTTTCTGACATCGTGTGTGAGGACATGCTGATGTGCCTTCCCCGCATCCTTCCCTTTCAGCCAGACCAGCAGCTCTCTTTTATTCTATTTTGCAATCATGAAATCACTGCATCAAAACATTATGAAAACCACTGGGCTGTAAAACCACTGTCTGTAAAGATGTATAGATATTGAAACTCAGAGAAACGCAGAATGCTCTATACTTTAAAGCAATTTTGGGGTCACTGTGAAAGGGCTATCCTCAGATAGTTCCAGGAGGGGAGAATTACTTGGGCAACATGATAAAACTTCAATTCTAGTTTTAGAAAAAAGGTGTCTCTTCTGAAATCTACCAAGCCATTTCTCTCCATTTGAAAATGACAATAAAATACACTCACACAACAGTTTCTTACTGATGTGTAAAAAGGGAGAAGGGAGATGGCATTGCTACTGTGATATTTTTCTTTGGATGGTAGAATTAATACGTGTTATTAAATGTGCTGTTTTAAAAAATATACTTCACTTTCATTGTTAACTCTTATTCCATGCCACAGTAACTGCATTGAGAAGGCAGAATATTAATTCCATTAATAATCAAACAGACTTTGTAGGGATTACTTGTATTGAAACACAGATTTGCATTATTAATGCTATTGGCAGCCCACTATATGTTGAGAAGAGCAACATGACCAATATCTAATAAAATATGGTCTATAAGTGTCTTGTGGGAAGAGTTTAGTTTAAAGTGAATTCATTTTTCTTTTTTTTTTTTTTTTTTTTTTTTTTTTTGTCCTGAATGATTATTGGCTTTAGAGAAGGTTTGTTTTTAATGATACAAAAAACAAGTGTCCCTGGAGTCACGTACTAGCTCTGTGAGCAACTTTTAACAACCTTTAGTTCCTAAAGTTTTAGCAGCTGACTGCCTGCCTCCAGGCTGACTGTGACAAATGTTTTCAAAGCAGAGTGAAAAACATGTAGAAGAACACAGGTCTCAATTTGCCTGAGTTGTCTAAAGATTATTACTGGATTTCTCCTGTCCCTACATAGTCTTTGTGCTCTATGCAGCTGAGCATTGTTATTTAAAATATTATTTTAAATTCCTCCTTTGCTCTATTAATCCAGATGGAGTGAGGGAGTGAAATACATTTCATGTATAAACTACTGAAAAACATCTCCACCTTCTAAAAGCTTCTCATTTTCCATTTGATACCAAGTGTTCCCAAACTAAGCACATTGCTAAGTGTTTCCAGGAAAGTTCGTAAGACAGTTGAGAAAACCAGAGCTTCCACTTAAAATGCTTTTCTGCTAAGAAAAATACTCCACTTTAAGTGAATGTACTTGGGATTTTGAGAGGAAATTTTTGATAACATCAACAAAATACACCCACACATACACAGATACATACACATGCTCAAATATC